ACCGCGGTCGACTACGTGGGAGTCCAGTGACATAGCCATTACGCTAACTGCTGGTTCCCCACATAAGCTTTTTGAAAAAAAAAATTCTTAAGTATTCTCTGCAGGAAAAAAATAACGTAAGATCTATTAGTTAGATCTTTTTGTTTGCAAGGAATAGAAATCTATGTGAACTGCTGCACTGGCAGGTGGTGTGGTAGTTAAGGTGCTGGACTGCCACATGGCCGACCACAATTCGAGTCCCAAACCTGGTGGTTTGCTTTCTCACTTCCCCCATCCCCATCAAATTAAGAATTATCATAAACAAAATTAAATACATAATTATTTTTTTTAAAAAAAGAAATCTATGTGAACTAGCTAGGCAAAAGTGTGAGTTATTATAAATATGCAAAACTATTTTTTTAAATGTGTCTTAGATTGGGTACCCTAAAAACCAAAGCCTAAAGCTAAAGCTTATGAACTATTATTTAATTAGAGCATGCAAGCCTAGTGAGAAGTGAGGGGGCAGGAGAAGAAGCCATGAAAGGAAGGGGGGAGAGCTTAAACAAAAATGTTACTATCCTGGTCATCATTTGGTATAAAAAGAGACAGATTACTAGATGGGATGGGAGTCCTGTTTTCCAAGGAGTCATATCAGGACAGTCTATCCAATAGCTCCTGATGCCATGAGGCAATGATTTGTCCCATAGGTGTTGACTTGTCTACTTTTGGCTTGCATCGTCATAAATGGGCCCAATAGAGGTCTCAAAATTTCTCATGCTTCACAGTGAAAAAGAGAAAGGAGGTGAGAGAAAGGAGGTGACCAAGAGTGTAGGCACAGGGTCTTTTCTGGTTGTACCGCAGTTAGAGCCCACACAGAGTTACTCACTTATTGATTGCTGCAACAGTTAGTCAAAGGCTCTGGAGATGGGTATCTGAAAGGCTCTGAAGTTTACTTTGGAACTAGGGATGTCAGTAGGCTTCTGAAATGGAATAAAACAAGTAAGTGGGACCCAGGAAGGGTACAGCTGCCCTTGTTTTCCATTTCTCTTTTTGCCTCTCTCTGAAGGTCAGCTTCATTCTCTCGCTACAGACGGACTTCCTCAACATTGAAGGATGATCAAAAATGAATAAACTGGACCAGCACGTGGCACTGGATCCCACATGGCTGACTCTGAGGTTCAAGTCCTGGACCCAGAGGCTTGAAAAACATGCCAGGTGAGTGTGAGTACATACCTGAAACCACAAGAGGAGAATGGTGGAGAAGGGACTGTGGTGTTCCTGTCCTCACTGGGGGTGATTACCTCATTGTCCCTCTCTCTGTGTGTCTCTCTTCAGTGAGCACACACATCCTACAGCAAAACTTCAAAAGAAAAAGGCATAATAAAGAGAGCAGCATCGCACAAACCGACTATGTTGAGTAGCATGTTTAAGTAAACTCTCTTAAACTAAGCTTCAAAAAGTGAAACAAGTAACTCCAAGGGGCACATCATATAAATAGATGGAAACCCCAGTCAGCTACACATTTATTGCCATCCCAATCACCAGTGCATGCATGGAATTTGAAGGATATTAAAAATTATTTTAATTTGGGGGGCCAACAGGTGGCATAGGGGCTAAGGGACTGGACTCAGTCAACCACAATTCGAGTCCCAGATCCAGCAGCTTGAAAATTATCCTGGGTGCATGTGCGGATGAGCCCAAAATCCTAAGAGGAGAATAAAAGGGAAGGCATTGCAGCATGGCCATTCCCCCTAGGAGGTGATTTCTTACATTCTCTTTCTCTCTGTGTGTCCCTGGTGAGTACACATGCCCTATGGCAAAAATCTAAAAAATAAAAGATGTTGGTGTCAGCAGGTGGCATGGTGGTTAAGGCACTAGACTCCTACATGGCCAACCATGGTTTAAATCCTGGACCTGGCAACTTGCTTTCTCACTTTCTCTCTCTCTCTCTCTCTCTCTCTCTCTCTCTCCCTCTCTCTCTCTCTCTCTCTCTCTCCTCCTCCTCCTCCTCCTCCTCCTCCTCCTCCTCTTCCTCCTTCTCTCTCTGGTGTAAATGTATGTCCTGCAGAAAATTAAAAATAATGATATGATAAAGCTAAATAAATCATTAATTTTTTTAATTTTAAATTTTTATCTGGTAAAAAAAATGAGTGAGATTGGAACCAGCAGATGGTATAATGGTTATGTTGCTGGATTTCCATGTAGTTGATCATGGTTCAAGTCTCAGACCCAGCAACTTAAAACACGTCCTCACGGCTGGGGCGTGTGTGTGTGTGTGTGTGTGTGTGTGTGTGTGTGCCCAAAATCCCAAGAGGAGAATGGAGAAAAGGGAATTGTGGCATGGGCACCCCCCCAAGAGGGTGATTTCTCACTTTCTGTTTCTATCTTTCCCCTGTCTCTCTGGCAAGCACACATACCCCTATAGCGAAAAGAAAACAGTGAGATTAGCTTTTTTTAAAGAATTATTTTATTTGTTTAATTTTATTTGTTGTTATTATTACTTTTTAACTTGACCAGAGAGAGAGAGAAAGGGACAGTGAGAAAGCAAGCTGCCAGGTCCAGGAATCAAACAGTGGTTGGTCATGTGGAGAGTCCAGTGGAATTAGAAATCTGTGGTACTATGATGAAACTACACTTTCCAGCTGTTACAATACATTCATGAGAAATCAAGGCACAAAATAAATAGCCAAGAATAGCTACGATAACCCAGAATGTCTCTGGTCTCTATGAAGATATTAAAATTAAGGTTGCTAAGCAGATACTATCAATCTGTCATACCTTGATCTGGGACTGTCACAGTTTTAGCATATGCACTTACCACTGTCAGTTGTTGGCATTTAGAAATTTCCCATTCTTTATTACAATATCAGGTTGACTTTAAAATTTTTATTTTTATAGACATGATGTCATAAAAAGAGGCATAGAGATAGAGGCAGTGGAATGCTTCCTATTGGTTTTTCTGGATGATACTGGCTTGTCAGGCCAAGACCACTGCCAGGTGTATAAATGAGAATTTGAGTCCATCAAAGTATGGATGTGTAACTGAGTTAAGACTGGAACCACTACAGATTGGTGACCTTTCTCAGTGACATTTCTGTGAGAAAATTAAGCCCTACAGAGAATGATTGGGATGATTATTTTCTCAATTATCTTTGAGAGAAGACATTGCTAGTGTCATCACAGACACATAGGAAAGAAGTTAATGCATTGTCTACAATGCATCCTCAGAGCTTAATCCTGTCATGAAATCCTAGTTGAGAAAGGCCACAGAATAATTCAAATAGATTATACTTGTATTGAGCAAAATGGGTCGCCTCCTTTGAGTAGTTTGATGTTTCAATCCACTAAGTGCTTGATGGCCAGAATTACAAGGTGACCTATTTTAGTCCCATAGCCTAGTCATAGACAGGCAGATCCCACATGGGGCCTACCATGGTTTGAATCCTAGCCCTGGTAGCTTGAAAAACATGCTGACACATATGGGTGAATGCCCCAAATCCTGACAGGATGGAGAAATGGAGGAGAAGGAAGTATAACATGATCACGTCTTCTCTCTCTTTCGCTCGCTCTTTCTGTATGTCTCTGGCAAGTGCATGCCCTCTCTAGCAATTAACAAAACATGAATATACAAATAATATATTTTAGCATCTGGGTTGACCTCAGGAAATCTTGTAGCCTAAAATATTAATGGTGATTAGGTTTTTATTTATTTATGTAAAGTTTTTTTTTAGAGATATTTTTGCTATAGGGCACATGTACTCTCTAGAGAGACAGAAAGTGAGAAATCACCTCCTAGGGGCAATTGGCCACAGTCCGATCCCTTTTTTCTCCATTTTCCTCTTGGGATTTTGGGCACACACTCACACACTCACCTGGCATGAGTTTTAAGCACTGAGTCTGGGACTTGAACCATCATTGGCCATGTAGGAGTCCAGTTATATAACCATTACACCATCTTCTGGCCTTAGCAATTAGGTTCTTATTAACTTTGTAGAGTTGCAATTAAAAAATACTACGAAGTAGGTGACTTAATAACAGAAATTTACTGTCTCACAATTCTGGAGGCTATAAATCTGAAATTGATGTGTTGGTAGAGTTGGTTTCTTCTGTAGGCTATGAAAGAAAGCTATTCCAGGCCTCTCTCCTTGGCTTGTAGATGGCCATCTTTGTAGTTATGTGGCATTCTCCTCATATGGCTGTGTGTATCTGAATTACACGTGTTTTAGGATGTTAGTCATGTTGGATTAGAGTCCACCTCAACCACCTCATATTACCAGATTACTCTGGAAAGACCTTATTTCCAAATAAGGTCACATTCTGAGGGGTTAGGACTTTAAGAGAAATGTGACAAGTTTGTAAAAGCAACTGTTAATTTAGCCTAGACAGTTCGACTTCACTTTTTTTTTTTTTTGAGCTGCAATCCTTTCCTCAGTAATCTTTTTCCATAATCACCACTAATTCCAGGGATAGGCTCATATAATCCAGATTTAATCAGAGAAGCATATTTCCCTGGCATTATGATTGGTTTAAGGAAGGGCACATGACTAGAATCAAGTCAATCAGAGTCTTGCCGAGGCTTTCCCTGTAACTACCAGGAAAGATTACAGTTGTTAAGGCTCCTATAAGCATAATGGCTGGTGGCCATCTCTGGTGGCACTGTCTGAGAATAAAGTCAATCATACTGGATGCGTGGCACACTGCCTTAAGGACTCAGGCACTATTTTTCCTGGCCTCTTGGAATATTGACAGCTGATTGCTCTCAGCCGAGTTGCTCTCCATGCATTGCCCTCATTCAAACGGAGCCAGCTGGCCCCAATGACTGACTGATGTGGAGATGAAGACTTATAAAGACCTAGCTCCTTCCTCTGGGCAAAGCAACTCTAAAGGGTTATCCATTTCCAGAGCTTTTCACAGAATAAGCTGTCTCCTTCTGATTGTCCTGCTGTCTTCACTCCCCTCACCCATGTTGATATGGAGCACGCTCCCGAACAAACTTTCCTATATACAAATCTTCTCAAACCTATGACACCAACACAGAGAAAAGAAAATTGTAGGATGATTTTGCTCAAAACTAGGAATTCAAATCTTGTCTATATGGACCAATAAACTTCCTTTTCTACTTAAATTATTTGATTTGGGTTTTTGTCAACAACATAAACTAGGCTACTTACAGTCACAGACAGGATAAGTCTTCCAAGATCTTAGTGCCGAGTGGTTCTGAGCCCAGGCAGTCTTACTCCAGATCTGACAAGTTCCTTTGAGAGTTGGCACATCTTCACATAGGTCATGAGGATCCAGGCTACTACAGATTTGCCACACTTTTTCCTCAGCCAAATGCCTTTTTCCACTATTATGTTGCTAACAGAAATGCCTGACTCTAGGTAGTTCACAAAGAGCTCGTTCAGCTCACACTTTGGAGGTCCAAGATTGAAGGATCAACTTCTGGTGGGGCTACAACATGGTGAATGACAGGCGTTAGAGCAGATCAGCTGTCCAGAATTTGTGTTTGTTATGGCCTATATCCATATGGGCTCGGCCTGCCTCATTGCCTCTACTTATAAACACACCAGAACTCAATTATGGGGCCTCACTCTAGTGACCATACACACCCTAAGTCCCTACCCTGGGATACCATGAAAGAATTAAGATTTTACTTAACACTTTTAAAATAAATCAAGTCCCAATACATGAATGGGGGCGGGGGGGACACACCCAAACACCAACAGCAAATATTCATGTCTTACTCTTTTCAATTAATTTTTACAAAAACGTTTTGTAAATTTAAAATTTTATATTGCTGGACTCTCACATAGTTGACCACAGTTCGAGTCCTAGACCCGGCAACTTAAAGCTCATGCTGGGCACATGTGCACGTATACCCAACATCTCAAGAGAAGAATGGAGAAGGTATTGCAGCATGGCCATTCTTCCCCCAGGGGGGAGTTGATTTCTCACTTTCTATCTCTCTTTCTCTCCAGCAAGTACACGTGCCCTATAGCAAAAATCTCTCTTAAAAATTTTAAATATAAAAAATTTGTTAGGGGGCACAAGCACTTGCCTGAGTGAAACAGAGAGGAGGAATGCTTAAAAAATTTGCTAGAGGGCACAAGTGCTTGCCTGAGTGAAACAGAGAGGAGGAATGCTAGAAACCAGACTTCACCCCTCACCCTGCCTAGTGCGTGATCACTGGCCACCTACCTCATTCTAAAGTCCCTTTTAGGTCATTTATCTACAAACAAACAACAACAACAACAAAAGACCCTGTAAGATGGGTATCATTGTTCCCAATTTTTATGTGAGAAATTAATGCCAGTACAGGCGGCAGTGAACCCCAAGTCCTTTATCCATTGCTCGAAGTGGGTCTTAGAGCTGGATCTGGCTCTAAAACATGTACTCTTATTAAAATTACAATTGACCATTCTGGTTTTTTCTAAGCAAATGGTCATCCAGTTTACTGAGATTCAGTAGTTTATTTTTAATCAGTTTCCTCTTTAATTGCACACAAGTAGAATTATTTATTTTATAAACTGAGAATATATAAAAAATTAATGGAGAAGAATCTAAGCTACACTCTAGATTTGCCTCACTTTTACCTTGGGCGGATATTCATGTCCTACCATTAATAAGCAGTAATATGCAGGATGCTTTTCGTACAGTCACCATATGCTTTCTTATTAAAAGACTAATGTTTCCAGCCACAAGTGAATGGGAACACAGTCTTGTTCCTGTCATGGTCCTCAGTCTTGCCCTATCTCTGACTGTGTGCTGGTCCTCACCAGATTTCGTAGGTTTTTTTTTTGAAGTAGTTGTGACTTTGCAAGAGTCTTCCCAAATCTCCTTGGGCTTTTTGCCTTTCCTTGGGTGCCCATAGTCACTTCAATGCTGCCATCTTGCATCCTCTAGTACTGTTGGTTCTGTTCATTCACACAGTCCAAAACCCATCACTGAGTGCAGGACTCTTCTCTGCTACGTCCTCAAGACCGAGCTCCTGGCTGGATCTGTGATTCTTTGTTCTTTGCTTGGCTTTCTTGAAGCTGCGATTTCTCTCTGCTCACCCCGCCATGAAAACATCTTCCCGGGCGACATACGTTGGCTTCATCCCCAAGGTTGATAACTTCTATCAGGCCCTCTGGCCCTCTGATCCATCCTTACCACCAGCTTCAGAGGACATTTGATCTCTTCCTGGGTGTCTCTTTGGTTCACTCTGCTCCTCAGCAATCAATGCTCCTATTGTCTTCCTGAATCATGTGTCTGTTCACACTGTCCTGGGAAGAGCCATGCCTTCTGTCTCTGTCGGTTTTGGTGGGGAGGATTAAGTTCCTTGGGAATAGATGACTCCTTTCCCCATAGCTGCTTCCTGGATTCTTTTTGAAAAGATCTCGCTTCTTCCGCAGCTTCAGGGCAAGGGACAAAAAGGTCTGTACTTAATATGCAGACCTTGCAACCAGTCTTCCAACTGCTTCTCCTACAGAAATGCCTTTTTGATACTTAAACACTTCTTTTGTCATCCTCTGCCTTTGCAGATAGGTTACACATTTTTGTAACAACATTATGAAGTATTTAATATACTTTTAAATATATTTAATATAATTACAGTGTACTAAAAGAGTTGATGCTGCTCTTTAACTACCTAAGTTCAACTGAAAATATAGACTTGAACGTCGGGCTAATAGGAAGCACTATTTTTCTGTTATTTTATCATGAGATATTTATAAGTGTTCTGATAATAATATATTGCTATATGCATACTTTTAACACCATTTCCCCCAAATATGAACTCTTTAAAAGTTTAAAAACACATTCAGTACATTAAAAGTTAACAATGTGGTTAAGAATAAAAGAAATAGTTTAAATTTAAGTGGCATTTACTATATCTCATGCTCCTCGCTAAGCACTTTACAGATATTATCTCGTTTAGTCTCTCAACAACTCTAAGAGGCTGGTATTTTAATCACAAGTGCAAATAAGTGACCTGAAGCTCAGAGGAATTGTGAACTGTGAGTCCCAAAGTTAAGCCACAGTGGAGCTTGACTGCAAAGTCAACTACCAAGTGATTCTGCCTCGCTAAACCAGGTGTGTGTGAGAGAGAGAGAGCGAGACAGAGACAGAGAGAGAGACAGAGAGAGATTCAGACATCTAGAACATAGCAAATCTCAGTGTCTCACCAAAACAGTTTATTGGGAAGACTCTCACTCTGGATTCAAAACACATACATATAGTAAACTGAAAAATATGCTCGTATTTTTGCTATACATGATCTATCGTTTACATAGTTTTACACTATTAGAAAATGTCTTAAGATATAGTACTAGCAATGAGATTTGTTTTGATTATTTAAACGTGGTCCATATGAAGCAAACAGCCAATGAACTTGATAATTCCTTAAGTCCAAGTATGTGTTAATAATAAAATGCCCAGGGCATTGAATTTTTTCTCTTTCAGCCTCTGAAATGATGATTTGGTGTATTGCCACTTCAGAGTGACAAATAGGGAGCCATTTGGCCCAGATTTCATGGTAAAGAGGGTTGTAACATTAATAATGGCATTAGCGGTGAGTCACGGTGACAGATAAAGCAGCAACAGCAATCATGATACTATATTTACTACATGGAAATGGTATTATTAAAGATACAAAACCAGAACGTAACACATCCATCTTGTCATCTTACCATTTATTCAGAAAAGAGCAAATGACTCTTGTTCAACCCCAGAGTAAGTCCAAGAAGTCCCGGTTTGTCCCTAGGCTTGTGTAAAGTGATAGGATCTCTTTAATCTCTTTCTTATTTAGCTATTTCAGGACTGGCTCTTGAGAACCAAGTCAGCTCTTAGTAAATTATACAGCCTGCTCTTAGTGAAGGTCTTGGGAACATCTATTACTGCATGCTGGCATTCACCAAAATTCCCTTTGAATACACAAAGAGGCTCTGGAATTTTCCAAAAATACACACACTGTAAGTTAGGGACTTAAAGCCTTCTAACAATGAGCCAAGATCTCCTAAATTAACATCACTGAGACACAGTGAACTTCCTAACCACAGTAAATACACTCTTTTATAAACCTTGCGCTGGGTAATGTGGGCTGGCTAGCTCAACATGCAACCCGTTCTCCTTCTGGCTGGAAAGATTGGAAATCTAAAAATGATCTTCCCAAAACTCCCTTACAGCAAGGGTTCCCAATGTGAGCTATATCGTGCCAAGTACATGAATCTTGTGAGAAATAGAAGGCAGAAATGAGGTGGAGGCCATATTCTCACCAATGTTCTGTCATTTTTTTTTCTACAGTGGATGTTCCGAGGCCTGTTCTCAGCTTCCTGGCTATAAAGGGCAGTTGAAGTGGCAACAATCATGTCTCGATTCCAGTTCCCTGGCCCCTGGAGCACAGTTGCAAACCTGCATTCTTGAACTCATGCTGTAGTAGCAGTCTCAGAAACAGTACCTCCCTAGGTGTCAGACCCATATTATCCTTGGGTCTTTGAGGCACTCCAGGCCTCTAATCCGGCACCAGGGGAGCAGCTGTAAAAGCTGCCTGCACAGGGAAAGACACTCTCCAGCTCCTCCCTCACACCCTGCTGGTGAAGATAACCGGCCGAGGGAGCAGAGGCAGGAGCCATGGAGGGCGGTGGGCGGTGGACAGGGATAGTCCTCCTAGAATGCAGATCCAGGGTCTAACCAAGGACTTCACTCCCTTGTCAGGGCCCAAGTTCTCACACTCCCACCTAGGAGGAATTTGTAATTGTCACGAACTAATGACCACTAGGTGCTTCCCATTCTTCTCTTTTCTAGATGACAATATAGGTTGAGCCTCTCTACTCCAGAAATCTAAAATCTGAAATTCAGAACTTTTTGAGCACTGACTTTATGCCACAAGTGGAATATTCGGCACCTAACCTCATATGAGAGAACATGATAAGACTGCTGTGATACAAAAATATTGCATATAATTACCTTCAGGCTGTGTGTATACGGTGTACATAAAACATGAATGCCTTCTGTGTTTAGATTTGGGTGCTATCCTCAAGAGTTCATTTTATCTATGAAAATATTCAAAATCCAAAATCCAAAACATTTCTGGTCCAAAACATTTCAGATAAGGAATCCTCAACCTGGATTTATGGAAGTTATCCTGTTTCTTCCTCTCTGTCAGATTTTCAGCATGAACACTTTTCTATGCATTTAATGGCCAGCAAATCAATTAGAGAGGACTACACAGAGTCTTGGACTTTGAACTGACGTAGGAACTGGAAGGGTGTCTGGACCGTCTCCGGAAGGGAAGGCGTGGACGAGTTCAACGTGTGGGAAGAAGAGTATGCGTATTTGGAAGCCCAAAGTAAAAGATTGTGGCAGAGACTACGAGTCCACTAACATCTATTTTTCCCTTTAATGACAGAACTCACAAGTCTAGGCGGCGTATGATTGGCAAAGTAGCAAACATCTCTCTCAGAATCACTTACAGTTCAGTGCCGTTATGTTGCCAAGTTCTGGGCAATGGGATGTAGATAAAAGTAATTTCCATCTTCAGAGTGGTGCCCACCAAAAGGAAGGCATGGGCATTCCCTGCTCTTTCTCCCTTTCTCCTGTGGGAGATGAAGAGCTCTGAGGGAAAAGAAGACACTTCACCGGGGATGGGGATGAAAGACTCTGGAACTGACCTGATTGATTCTGGACTCTTCTGTGGCAGAATCATACTATTATCTCACTCAAGCCATTGTATATTTGAGTTGCTTTGCTATCAAAGCTTAGTTGTACTGTAATATTTGTATTTTACTATTCTAATACAGAAACAAATTTTTCAAAAGTCATTGACTAGTTGAACCTAGGGCAGAATCTGACCAGATAGAAATAAAAATTAGAAGCACATATCATTACTGGTTGTTCCCATTACAGCCCCTGGGAATTTGCATTGCTGTGGCATCTGTGGTGTCCCTAAGGCATCTTCATTTCCATAACCTTTCTCTTTTCAGTTTCTTGCACCTTTCTGATTGCTCCATTTCTCCTTCTCTGAACTCATAGGTATAAATGGGGAATTGAAGTCAATTCATACACATTGAGCACTTTATTCATGCTGACACTTTGCTAAGTTCTTTATATAATGTGCGGTAGACAGTATTATCATTACCATTTCTCAGAAAAGTGCAGTTCTGATTTATTAACTTCACCTAAAGTCATGTATCTAGAATTGGCAGAACTGGCTGAAATGCTCCCTCTGACTTGAAAACTTAGAGGTGTATGATTATACACAGCCCTCGTAGTGAAATTTCACATGTCTCCGAGAAGGGTGGAGAAAGGAATTGCCTATTCGTGTTCCATGTGGAACCCTGGAATCATGCATGACACACACAACTGCACACACTTTGAAAGTGCATTAACACTTCAACTCCTTGGGGGACTTATAATTAATGTAGTAATGATGCCAATGTACTGTAAATAGCATCGGTGACTTTTTTCTCCTGTTAATTATTAAACACTCTAGGTATTCTCCAATAGATTATGTACTCTTTTTCCTTTAGAAGCATCTAGTTCAGTGTTTTCCATCCTGCATGTTTACTGAAAAAAGCATGGTATCCTAGTGAAATTTATTTTATCATGACCCAATATTTTAAAAATAGATAAACAAAATAGAATAGATTATACCAAGAAATAAAAATTAGAATACAAGCGTCAGCAGGTAGCATAGTGGTTAAAGCACTAGACTCCTACATGGCTGACTGTGGTTTGAGTCCCAGACCTGGAGACTTGCTTTCTCTCTCTCTCTCTCTCTCTCTCTCTCGTGAGCACAGTTACCCTATAGCAAATTTTAAAATAATAATAAATATAATTAAATAAATAATTCTTCCTTAAAAACCAGACTGCATTGTGCACAAGATAGATACGCATTATTTTAGGGAAACATTTTAATAGGATATACATATATCCTAGGGTTGCATTCCAGAACACTACTCACTGGTTGGTATTGGCAGGGCCACATTCTCTCCAGAGGTTCTAGGGGAGGGTCCATCCTTGCCTCTTCCTTATTGCTGGTGGTCGCTGACCGTCCTTGGTCTTCCTTGGCTTATGCTGTGAAACTCGAGTCTCTGTCCTCATCTTCACATGGGCTTCTTCCCTGTGTTTGTCTCTGTCTCTTCTCCTCTTTTTACGAGGACAACAGCCTTATTAGATTGAAGTCTCGTTTTACTCCAGTATGATCTTAACTAATTATATTTGCAACAATCCTATTTTCAAATAAGGTCACATTCTGAGACTCCAGGTGAACATACATTTGGTAGGGTTGGGGGATGGAAAACACATTAAAAACCATAATTGTGTGTGTGTCTGTCCAAAATATGAATTTCTTCCTGCAAGTCATGATCATAAATGTGAAATCCTTTGATTGCAGTTGAAGGGGACATGGCACCCCCTTATTACATCAGCGAACTATTATAACATGTACTACATATATACATCCTAGGACGATGCCGAGAAGAGAAATGAACTGAGCCACGTGTAGACTCAAGGGCATGCCCACTGTCATACTTGTTTTTTTTTTAAATTTACATTTAATCACTATAAATCTTTATAGTATACAACATTGGTTCTCAAAGTATAAATACCGTGGATGTCAAGCAAGCCAAAGATAATAGTTTACACAATAACTTTCCATACTTGTGTCTGTTACATATTTTTGTTATTGCTTTTAATTTAATTATTTTTATACATTTTTTCCCACATTATATTGATACACGAAAAACTTTAAACTAGAACTGTGGACAAAGTTAGCATCTAGTTACAAGTACGCTGTAATTTTCTTCTGAAACATCTTAAATTAATTAATTAATTTACATTCATTCCCTGAGCATTGTCATAGCATACAAAATGTGATTTCCCATCCAAAATATACTGCCTAGTGACTTAATCATACATGTTATCATCATTAATTTTCTATTTCTAGTTTCATATATATTCATGTATATATATTTTTTTACCCCTATTTCTCACCCTCTGCCATTTCCCACTCTCCTCCCACACTATCTTAGGTGTCTATGGTTGTTTTCAAAAATATGGAAGGCTTGGGACCAGCAGTTAGTGTAATGGCTATGTCGCTGGACTGCCATGTAGTCGACCGTGGTTCGAGTCCTGGACCCGGTGGCTTAAACTCACGCCAGGCGCGTGTGCGTGCATGCCAAGATCCCAAGAGGAGAATGGAGGAAAAGGGATTGCGGCGTGGCCATCCCCTCTGAGGGGTGATTTCTCGCTTTCTACCTCTCTGTCTCTCTTGGTCTTTCTGGCGAGTGCACGTGCCCAATAAGAAAAACCTCTCCAAAAAAAGAAAAGAAAAAAAAATATGGAATGCTTCACGAATTTGCGTGTCATCCTTGCGCAGGGGCCATGCTAATCTTCTCTGTATGGTTCCAATTTTAGTATAAGTGCTGCCGAGGCGAGCACTGTCATACTTATTTGACAATAAATGTGTGGTTGTCTGATTCAGCAAGGGTAACTTAGCATGAATTTAGAAACAGAATTTTAAATTACTCTGATGATCATCTTCACTAGATGTCAGTGATCATCATGAATAGTTATTATTTTGCAGCCATGGGACCAGCAGTTGGCGTAATGGCTATGTTGCTGGACTCCCATGTAGTCGACCATGGTTCGCGTCCCAGACCCGGTGGCTTAAAACTCACGCCGGGCGCGTGTGCATGCGTGCCCAAGATCCCGAGAGGAGTATGGAGGAGAAGGGATTGCAGCGTGACCATCCCCCCTGGGGGTGATTTCTCGCTTTCTGTCTCTCTGTCTCTCTCTGTCTTTCTGGCAAACGCACGCGCCCTGTAGCAAAAACCTCTCAAAAACAAACAAACAAATAAACAAAAAAAAAAAAAAAAACAAGAAACCAAAAAATTTTGCTCCTGGGAACCAGCAGTTAGCATAATGGCTATGTCGCTGGACTCCCATGTAGTCGACCATGGTTCGCGTCCCAGACCCGGTGGCTTAAAACTCACGCCGGGCGCGTGTGCATGCGTGCCCAAGATCCCGAGAGGAGTATGGAGGAGAAGGGATTGCAGCGTGACCATCCCCCCTAGGGGGTGATTTCTCACTTTTTGTCTCTATGTCTCTCTCTGTCTGTCTGGCGAGCGCATGAGCCCTATAGCGAAAACCTCTCGGAAAAAAAAAAAAATTTTGCAGCCACTGTGGTGATCTCAGGTTGGTAACCTACAAGAAAGTATTTTTTTTCCTTTCTTTAATTTATTTTATTCTATTTATTTATTTTTAGTTTGTGTTATAAGGCTCAGGTGCTCACCAGCAAGAGACACAGAGAGAAAGTGAGAAATCACCCCCGAGGGGGGGCCATGCCACAATCCACACTCTTCCTGTT